TATATATACAAAGTATAACACGGATAGGTCCAACACAGAAGACTCCAAATCACATATCTGTCGAACTGTGCCTGCGGTCCCGTTTTTTTCTTTCTTCTTTATTTTTGTAAGATATCCCTCGAAAGTTATGGATCCCTTGAACTACCGAGGCTGGTCCCCACCAATTCGAGCTATCCGCGTTATCATCATCATCCAGTGCCAGATCTGCGACAGACATCGGCGATCATGGTTCTCCATTCATTCCTTGGCTCGGATGCTCTCAAAAAAGCATTATACTTTATGTAAAACAAAGTTACTTGTTTGAAGCGGCCTTCAGTAGCTAATCTAAAAGTTTCCATTTCTAGTTCCCATACTCATACAGGTATGTATGTATTATGATATGAGCAAAGGCATGGTCTGTACTGTAACATGGTATACAGCATATCATTTCACAGACAAGTAAAAACAGGAAAACAGCATTTGTTTGGATGGTTTAATGTTTGTCGGTAAGGCCACATGAACACACAGGTGCAACTATCAGACTCATTCATTCTCCAGACTTTAAATGTTGTCACAACGGAATTACACATTATTTTTTTTTTCTTTGACAGATATAATGAGGGCATTTTCTACCAGAAAATGTAAAAACAAAAGGGTCCTATCTCTCACAGTAAATTTAGTGTGGCAAGAGGGATCTTTCTTCTTTTCTAAATCAAATAAATAATAATAGAAATAGACAGCATTTGTGTAGCACAGGCAAATCCCCTTTCAACAGCAGCAAACTCTATGCACCTTACACAATCTATATTATTATTAACCCCAGCAGACCTGACAGCATTCTGAAATAAACAGTTGTATACTGAAGGCAAACTTTTAAAACCATAGAATAACTACAAGTACAAGTTTTCCAAAATACTGTTGACTAAAACTAAACGCTCATATGACCTTATGCAGTTGCGAGCGCCTTAAAACCTCATGCTAAACTAAAGAGACAACTGTCTAAACTGTTTACAGTTAATCTGACAAAATTATTGCTGGTCATGGAAGCTTTACTCTCAATCAAAGTAAAAAAAAAAAATCTAAATTTGTAAAATTAACATAAGAAACAAGTGAAAAGGAAAAACTGGTAACTCAATATACAGTTTAAAGCTCAGTAACCAAGACGTATTGCAAAAGATCAAAATTAAAGCTCAGAAACAAGACTCAAGAATACTGGAAATTTCCTAACATTAAGTACCAGGGAATGCAGCAGTGAATCAAAGCTCATCTTTACGTTCAATTTTCAGCAGCTCAACTTCAAAAATCAACGTAGCACCTCCTGAAAAAAAAAGAAGAAGATAGGGTGTGTAATTAGCTCACTGATAATGGAGTGGGCGTCCAAGGATCAGATCTGTAACTCTAACACAACATTTTAAAACACAAATGAGGGGGTCTTGATCTGTTTAGTTGTTCTACCAGAATATGTAAAACCGGAAGGGTCCTTACAGTACATTTAGCGAGGCAAGAGGGATCTTGCATTCAATATCATATATGGTACCACAACAAGGCTAGCGACATGATTGTGTTGCCCACAGAAACCCAGTTGAACATGTCAATAGTAAAACGGCAAAGGAGAAAGTTGCCATTTTGAACAGGTTTTCCCTTTCACAGGCGGCTAACCCAGATGGGACAATTAGCAAGAAAACACTATCGCTGATGGCTAGAAATATCAATTACAGGAGATTCATTTGAACACTTATCATGCATCTTTATTGGTCATTTCTTCATTTGAGACAAAGCAAACTAAAGAGGGTGCCAGTTCACTTGACTGGCGACAGCAAGTCCCTCCTAACTGACCATGCAACCTCTAATGGACTGCCATGAAAATGCTTTTTACTGTAAAGCCTGCACAAGGTTATTTTATACAATCCCTTTCAAACCTTGATGTACTGCTTTCAAGAAACAGGAGGGTAAGTCAACCTGAAACCCCCCATCACCAGACAACCCCCAAACCCTATCAGTGTGCCCTGGGGTCATTTTGTACCCCCGAGGTTGTGTTCTTCACATTTTAGAATACTTCTAGTACACTTTCAGTGTTTCTCAAAAAATTATTTTGACAAGACTGCTATGCAAGGCGTACGGATCGGATTAACGAGTAAATTTCATTTTGGAAAGTGGTGGCACAGAGTTCCCCACTTCGTATGGATACAATAGTAAAACACAACGTACAGATAAGGTTAATACATGGCCAATTACAGTCCTAAGCCTGCATAAACGTTGAGGGAAAATATTTAGTATTGTGGATTGTAGTGGAATAGCAGACCATGAAGTGGGACAGTTGTCAGACTCGTCTGGGGGGGGACCATAAAGTAAAACAAATTATATTGTGGTAGACCATCAACTGGACCTGTACTCTCTGCTGAAGAGGTTGCTAGATTATTAACCCTATCCGTACGTCGTGTTTAACTATCGCATACATACACGTGGGGAACTCTGTGCAACCACTTTCCAAAGAGGAAATTTACTCGTTAATCCGATCCTTACACTTTGCATTGGAGTTTGTCAAAATGATTTTTAGAGAAATACTGAAAGTTTCAAAGAGATCTTCGCACTAGAAGTATTCTAAAATGTGAAGAATACAACCCCGGGGGTACAAAATGACCCCAAGACGTACGGACATGGTTAATGTTTGTGAAGGTAAGTCAGTTTCAAGCTGAGTAAAATAATGTCTTTACCTGGAATTTTCGGTGGAGCACCTCTGTCACCATATCCCATTTCAGGAGGAATCACAAGTTTTCTTTTCTCATCTTCACACATGCTGATTACAAACAAGAAAAAACAAAACAAAACATTATAAAGATCAATACTGCTTTATAAATATATTAATAACTAATATTTAGAAGTATTTTTTTAAAGTAAGTGTTTTACGGCACTTGCAACACAATAAGGTTATATTAAAAAAAAAATATAAATTTTATAGTAGAAGGTTTTACAGCGCTCGCAACTGCATAAGGTTATATGAGTGCCAAGCCGTGGGTGTCAACAGAGAAGTCTTTACAGGGAATCAGACCTATTCTGCTCACCTCTCTAGCTTCAACAGCACAAGGTCTGCTTCGACTATCAAGGCACCCCGGAAATAGCAGGTCACAAGAGAGTGACAAACATACAAAAGTAGAGGAAAATGACAATAGTAAGGATTAAGAAAGAAAAAGCAGCAGTTCCCTGTTATAGATCAGGCACAATTATGAGCGTGACATGAATCAGCCCATTTACAATTCTACTGTGCTTGAACGAGAAATGTCCCCTCTTTGGGAATGACCTAAAGACACAACAGTCAGTGGCACTGCCCCTGGGGGTACAATAAGGTTATATAAGTGCCGAAGACACGAGGTGTTACAAGAGAGTAACAAACACAAAAAAGAAGGAGGGGAGATAAAGACGATGGACGTTCGATAGGTAAGAAAAAGCAAGCCACACCAGAGCACCCGTCAACCACCCACATTCAGAAGTAGATTTTGCAGCATTCTCAAAAATCCCCTAAACAAAAATAAAAGGTAGAAAATTCAAATAAAACAAAATGATGTTCGCAATAGTACTATGCAAATTTAGGAAACCAAACTTCATTGAAGCTTCAAAGCATGAAGTCACTATTTATGCTATTTGGACGCTGCAAGTAAATAATTTTTACACAAGTCCATCAGCAAAATAGGTTAAATTCATTATTCACAGGGATATTCATCCTGTTCTGGTGATTAAAAGAAAAATAAATGATTTTAGGCCTCAGCCCCCATTACAATACAAACACCAAGGCAATGACGCCAAATTCACCATTCATATAATGCTTTGAAAATTGAACTTCCAAAGGGAGAAGGAGAGTTCATTGCACCTGCCTACTGTTAACTTCTTTTGCTGCCTTGAGCTATTTATGGTGTGAGTAGTGAATACTGAATAGTAGTGAATACTTATTAGAGGCATGTATATATATATATATATATATATAAATATATATATTATATATATATTATATGGCCCTTGTTGGCTCTACTTACTACTTAATCATCAAGTACAAAAAATTGCTGCATTTTCCACAATGAATTTAATAATATGCACTAATTTTATGATGGATTGAGAAAATGAGTTTAAAAACATTCATTGTTTGTAAAAATCATACAGCATTTGAATGGCTCTGCCATGCTTTGAACAGCTGTGAATAGGGGAAAAAAAGTGTGCCTGTTGAATAGTAGGTTCCAGCGGGCACAGCTCTAGGCAAAATTTGAAACATTTCTTAATCACCTCAAACAGAGGCAGACAATTCGATACACCAGAGACAGTATGGTCAGATTTTGACCCACTTTATCATGACTCACTTAAATATCATGGCAGAAAAAGGACTACATTCTTAATGGAAAAAAGGCTTAACGTCCATAAGCTTCATGAAATATACTCATGAGATATTTTGTTTGTTTAGTATAGGGTTTTACGGCGCTCGCAACTGCATAAGGTCATATGAGCGCGCGGGACACACCTAATACTTTTTCGTTGGTAGGAAATTTTGAATTTTGCCCGGGTGGCGGCCGAAGCCTACTCTTATCGATTTTAGACCACCAAGGGATCTTTAACGTGTGCAACTTGCACACGGGCCCTCCGAGATTTTTCGCCCTTGTCCGAGAAGGCTAGGTGTAGATCTTTCCTACCAGAAGATCAGGGGTGTGGCAGAAAGACAGCAGTAAGGAGGAGCCAAGGAGTAGCAGTAGAAAGGCTGCAGAAGGAGTCAGGAGCCCAGAGGAGGAGGCAAAGGAGGTGAGGGGGTGGGGGCAGAAAGTGGAAATGAAAGCAGACAACAGAATATTGTTAGAGATCAGGAAAGGATGTGAAAGGAGACAATTTTAGAGAAGAACATTTTTTGGTCGCTACCCGGAATCGAACCCGGGACCTTTGAATGAGAGGCCAACACCTTAACCTCTAGGCCACGAGAGCCCCTGAGATATTTGATCGAAATTCAAATTTTAAATGTTGACAAAAAAACCAAGAATGGGCTACATAATATAAATACAATTTGTAAAGTTAAAAACTAGAAACTTCTGTTTCTCTGAGCAAAAATTTTACTTTCTGGGTTTGGGCATTTTTAACAGTTTGATGGTGATATATTTATAAATACATACTTCAAAAGTCCTTGGTCCCAGCCCTTGATTACTTGTCCTGTGGCCAAAGTGAAAACAAATGGCTGATTTCGAGAATAACTGCTGTCAAATTCTGTTCCATCTTCCAATTTTCCCTGAAATACAAGCAAGTTTTACCAAAAGTCATACAATTACAACGGATAATAAAAATAGCCCTTTCCACACCCACCATCCCCTCCGACAAACCACAACCACCTAAACATTTTTAAGCCTATCCATATGTCTTGGGGACATTTTGTACCCCCGGGGTTGTATTCTCCACATTTTAGAATAACTTTTAGTACGAAGATCTCTTTGAAACTTTCAGCATTCCTAAAAAAATTATTTTGACAGACAGCCATGTAAAGCGCACAGATCGGACTAACGAGTAAATTTCCTCTTTGGAAAATGGTGGCACAGAGTTCCCCATGTTGTATGGATACAATAGTAAAACACGACGCACAGATAGGGTAAATACAGCCAATGACAGCACCAAGACTGTATATATATATAAGGGAGTGCTTATTTAGGCCACATATGGCCTAAATAAGGTAAGGGAGGGGGGTTTAGCTTATTTAGGCCACAGTGGACTGTGGCCTAAATAAGGTAAGGGAGGGGGGTTTAGCTTATTTAGGCCACACATGCTCAAACTACCCTTTTCAGGCAACTGAATTCGTTCCACTTTCATAATGGTGCGCCTTTCTCATTTAGTACGGTTTTGTCTCAGTGTACAACTTATAAATCATAACCATAATGAATATTGTAAAGAACAAAGCACAATACGCAAAATTTTGCTCAATCCCAATGGTTTGAATGAGGGCCAGATTTTTCCTTCATGGAGGGGCAAAAGCTAGGCTACCATTTTGCCACACTTTGGTCAAGTGAAAAGGTCAAATCCTCCGAATGGACTTCCGGGTTAAATTTGGGGTATAAAAAGAGTGTACACTACGTGGCTGAGTCAAAGTTACACTATCTTTGCCTGAGTGACACTCTCTCGTACTGTCTCGTAGTAGTACATGTAGGCTAGTAGGCCTAGTAGTAGTAGTAGTAGCAAAGATCGTGTAGAGAATATTTATTTGGTAGTAGATTCTATCTAGTAGGCAGTTTAGTGAACGTGCACGCGGCAGGGCGAATCGGCCTCGATAAGCCCCGTAGACTTTTGTGATCGGCCACGAAGCCTCGTGTTTTGATGGGTCTAAATAACTCAGTGTTATTCGCACTGCCACATCCGACAGGCCTACATCTTTTTAAAAGGAAAAGAAAGATCATCAAAATGGTTGAATTCGCGTGAAAATCGATTCAGTAGAACTAGAACTATTAAAATTTGCTTCTGAAAACAAGGCAATTTTTATACGAAGGCCATTTTTATAACTCGATGAAATAAAAACTACTGGCTGTGTACTGTGTTATTCTGTATAAAAATAAATTATGAAACTTCAGGACGTATTATTATTTTCCAGCATCTTTTGACGCCTGAGCTGTAGAGGTTGAAGTTTTCACAACACTAATAGATCTAGTAAGAGGGTTAGGTAATAGGGCTTTCCGTAAAAAAAGGAAAAAAAATCTACAAAAGCCGAACCACCGAATCGACCGGGCACCTCGCTCTCCCCTGCACACTGTGATAACGTGTTGCTGCGGTATCGCATTATTCAACTATTAATACGTGCGGCTATGGCAATTGGGATGTACTGACTGAAAAAAAATTCAGTTTTGTTTTTATTTTACCATATATTTGACTTTAATAGTGCAGGCGATAGCAAGATCTAGATTCCCTGTCTAGAATCAGTAGTAGCAGGCCTATGCTAGAAGCAGCCAGAGAGCCTACAACTGCTAGATCTAGATCTAACTTATTATTGCTATGCCTTTGGGCTTTGGAATTGAAATAAAACGAATTGCACAGTTCTAGTTACTTTTAGATTCAGCAAGTAACTGTATTTCCAGAGTCAATAATAACAAATCTCAGCATAACAATCACTTTTACTTGTATTAGAATAATTAGATCCAACTTTTTTTCTCTAAAATCTGTTTTGCGCAAACTTAATATTTTTTCTACTTGTAGAGCACAGAATTTACATTGTAAGCCTCTGCTCAGCCTTTTAGTATACATAATAAAATACACACACACACACACACATATATATATATATATATATATAGAGAGAGAGAGAGAGATCTATATAATCATTTCATGTTGTTTTCAGGATATTTTTAAAACTCTTTTTTTCAACATGTAAAATCAAATTGTGCCATTTTCTTTGAAAAGAATAGCATTAGCAGTGGACTTTTTAGACAGCGAGTCTCTGATTCAATTTTTTATTTTAAAAATGCTAATCAATGAAAATTGCAAATTGATAATAGTTTAGTCCTGTAGAGGATAGGTGGACTCTGGGGTCTGCAGAGCGAAATACTAGGTTTTAGGATGTGAACCCCGGAGTCACCATAGTGAAATAAGGTTTGGTTTAAGTAAGGATTGGTGGACCCCGGGGTCAATGTAGTGATAAATAAGCAGGTTTAAGGTGGACCCCGGGGTCTACCTAGCGAAATACTAGGTTTTAGGACAGGTGGACCCCGGGGTCACCGTAGTGAAACAAGTAGGTTTCTTTAAAGATTGGTGGACCCCGGGGTCAGCGTAGTGAAATAAATAGGGTTAATTTTAAAAGGATTGGTGGACCCCGGAGTCACCATAGCCGTAGAGGAATATTAAGAAAGTTTAATTAAGGATTGGTGGACCCCCGGGACACCGTGATTAAACCTACTTATTTTACTACAGTGACCGCAGGGTCCACCTATTCTAAAACCTAACTAGTATTTCGTTAGGTAGACCCTGGGGTCCACCTTAAACCTACTTATTTCACTACGTTGACTCCAGGGTCCACCAATCCTTAAAATTAAACCTAGATCTACATGTACTTATTTCACTACATTGACCCCGGGGTCCACCAATCCTTAATTAAACCTAGATCTACTTATAATTTCGCTACGTTGACCACGGGCTCCGCCAGTCCTACTATAAAATAAACTGAGATCTACTTATTTCACTATGTTGACCCCGGGGTCCACCGATCCTTAGTTAAACCTAGATCTACTACTTATTTCACTACGCTGACTCCGGGGTTCACATCCTAAAACCTAGCATTTTGTTAGGTAGACCCCGGGGTCCACCTATCGTTTTGGCTAGATAGACCCCATAGTCCGCCTATCCACTTTTTTGATAATAACTGAAAACAATACATGCCAGTTGTCATGAATAGTGAAGAAAAATGCGGGGAAAAAAAGACAATGAGGTAGACTATAATTTGTCAAAAAAATTGCAAGTGCAAGTGAAGATCATAAAATAATTTTGTTATTTTCTGGTCATCTTTCCCGGTTTATAAAAAAATTCCAGTGGGCCTACTACTAGATCTATGTATCTGAAGAACATTTTACTTGCCTTTATTAGCTTTTTTCATGTACATGAAAGCATAGAATATATAGTTTAACACATATATATGCACAATACTTTGAAAAAGAAAGATAAGGTCATTGTTGTTTTGTTTTTTTACGGAATCCGTTTTACGTTGAGAAAAGTGGTAAAAACAAGTTAAAATTTTTTAAGAAAGCCCATTATATTAGTATTAGGAATCCGAAATTACTACCTAGTTGGCTTACTCTTTAATAACCATGAGCAGTTAAGGAAAAAAAAGACAATGATATAGGATTTGTCTAAATATGACCATTAGCAATAAAGATGTTGCCCATTTTGTCCAATTATCCTTGCAGGTAAAATCACCCTACACTGTACCTCAATAAGCACAAAAGGAATATTTCTGTGACTTTGTATAAAGGTGTGGCCTAAATAAGGTAAGGGAGGGGGGTTTAGCTTATTTAGGCCACAGGTGAGGCCTAAATAAGGTAAGGGAGGGGGGTTTAGCTTATTTAGGCCACCTGTGGCCTAAATAAGGTAAGGGAGGGGGGTTTAGCTTATTTAGGCCATATGTGGCCTAAATAAGGTCACCCTATATATAAACACAGAGAAAGAAAATATTTTGTCTTGTCGATTGTAATAGAAGACTTGTAGACCATTAAGCGGAACGGTTGACAGACTGGTACGGCGGTATACTGTCAAGTAGAACAGAAACATTGCCGTAGACCGCCAAGTGCATTAGCACCACAAAGTATCAATATGCTTACGGAATAGTTCATGTGCAGGATATCTCCTTTCCGCGACTTGATTTTACATTTCTCAGGATCAGCTCGTCTCTTGACCCCAATCTGTAGCTTCTTGTTATTACTCGCCTCAGATCCCTGAACAAGGATTTCCATCAACACAGCAAAGCTGACAAAAATAAGGCTTGTAGAAATCTGCATTTTCGCTCCTTGGTTAGATTAAGGCTATCTGGAATAAAAATAACAACATAAAAAGCATGAAATATAATTAAAGGTTATAGTATAATTTATAGTTAACAAGGTTTGAAATAACATTCAGAAGAGTGAAAGAAAGATTACATCTTATATCCATGTGGGATCACTATGGTACTAAAATGAAGAGCGATTACTTCCCACCAACACCGGTACAGTATTAAACTTTTCATGGACCAGCTGAGAATACAAAAGAATTAAAGTAGTGTTCTGTAGCTAATAGCATTTACCTAGGGGTGACAAGAAAAGTGTTCTCTTATTATGTGAACATATTATTAAGTGAATTTCAAAGGGCAGTCAGTAATGCAACCCATAGGAAGTATTTTGTCAAATTTCACTGACTGTTGTGAACGACCTTAGTTCTATGATTTCTTGCAGTCGGTTGTTTCAATGGACTGAGCTTGAGGTGAGAAGCTTTCCTATGCCAGGGGTCACAATCACAGACAACAACAGTCAACAGTCATAAATTACAGCACACAACCCTCTCACACCATCTGCCTACCACACATGGCCCCTCACTGGATTTTCTTATTGCACATATCTGTCTCACACCTTGCCCTTGACACAATCAGTTCAACATGAGATGAGCCATTTTCATTGCCGAATCATTTCTGACACTAGAGCAGGAACGATCGTGCTATCAGACGGAGCTGTCAATTTGGTATGAGCACTTCCAAGTGATAAATAATCATACAGGAAAAATTTGGATACAACATGCTTTAAATTTTAACCTATTTGCGCTTAACCGGAGTCCACTGTATGTAGTATTATTATTTACGAGAATATAAAGATGGACAATTATATCTAGCCAAGAACTAGAAGTGAAATTTTAAAGTGATGGCACCAAGAAAATCTCCATGACTTGTTTTGAAAGCTCTTTCTCTATAACTGTAACATATGCAGCGTCACAGTTCTTTGCATACTATCAAACCTAAGAAGTGAAAAAGAGTTTACAGAATTTATTTTCCACAATACATAGCAACACACTGATTAAAATTCATCCCTTTAAAATGATCCGTTTCACATTATATCATGCTATTTACTTAGTGGCAGTGCTCTTCTCTACATGCTGGAAAGTATGCCCTTTCATGAAACTATAGGCCTACAGTTTCAACTTACTATTAGACTAATTAGAATTAGAGCCTTCCGTGTATAATTTTTGTGACAGCTTGAAGTTATTATTTTCTCTCATAATATTTCAGTCTCAGAGAGGCTTCATCCACAGGGGATTGTTCTCCTATCTTTATACTCTTGCTTGTAAGTGAGCTCGTGGGTCTGCGAACAGTGTATTGACATTATATTGAATATTAAATTGCCATCAATGATCATATTATCAACGAAAATATTTAATAGGCCTAAGCCTGTCACCATTTTGAATAGCTTTCACTTTCACCATACCTCAGCAAACTAGTTATAATTGATCCTTACTATTTAATATACTAATACAGTGCAGCTTCTCTACAATGACATCGTCGCCACCAGAAAAAAAAATGTCATTATAGAGAGGCAACAAATATTGTTAATGACTAATGATATAGACTATAGCCTAGAAAAAATTGGGACCTGGCCACATAACCATATATCGCTATACAGAGGGTGTCGTTATATTGAGGCTGCACTGTATAAAAAGATCTATAGGCAGGCCTAAGAAAAAATAGTTTTATGAGACATTACCAGTGTCATATTTTGAGATCATTAATTAATTTTAGATCTATAATTCAGAAACACTTCTCATAATATTAGTAAATCAAATTGCCTTACTAAAATTATATTCTAAAATATTTAAGTCCATCCTTGAACCAAGAAAAGCTCAAAAAGTCATATTGAGTAGGCCACACCTAGATCTAGTTGCACTACGAGGCCTACATCTAGAAGATCAAGAGTATAATATAATATATTATATACAGTTGAACCTGCCCTGACGGCCACCTTTACAAACGGCCACTTTCCATTCCCCCCCTTGCGTTTTTTTCTATATAATTTAACTGTGTAAAATGGGCACCTGTCCAACGCGGCCGCGGCCACCATATTTTAACGTACACAGCCCCTATCACACCAAACAATAGATCTAACACCTGTCTTATACGGCCACCTTAGTGACTCCATTACGTTTGGTCATAAATTGTGCATTGGCCCCTGGCGTTGTGGGCGAGCCGTCATAAATCAATCACCTGTCATTGTTGTTATAAGGTAGTCCCTCCAACCGACCATTTTGCGTAGGCCCCTCCTGCTGTAGACCAAGGTTTAACAAATTTTCATCTGCTGGTGAGGTAAGCGTCGTGATCCCTCATTACCCATGCCCCGCCCAGAACTCCTACACAAATCGTAAGTGAGATGAGTGGTCACTGTTTACCCAGTCTGTAACAAAACAAAGTTACAATGGACGTCAACATGAACTTGTGACAGAAGCGTATCACTCCTTCTCCGAGTGGTGGCCACCTATGTGTTTGTTTTTCCATAGCACTCGGTCCTCCTTGTCTGACACATTTAGTTTTATTGTCACCCTTGCACAAAAGCAGTGACAAAAGAAAGAAAAAAACCCCAAACTCCAGCGAAAACAACAACAATTAACAATGCGGCTACTTTCGGTTGGGACCTCAGCTGAGAAGGGAATGGTTTGTTTTCTTCATCTTGATCAGTCCTGCCTAAGACAAGACGGCCACCTGTCTTACACGGCCACTTTTCTCCATGACAATAATGGGGGGCCGTCTTACACAGGTTCGACTGTATGTAATGTATTATTCTAATAATTTTAACGAAATTTTAATACTACTGCAGTTGGAGTTGTACAGTAGATCTAGATCTAGAGTGACAGTCTAGAGATAGATCTATAATAATTAAATAATCTAGATTCTAGATCTAGATTCTAGATCTAGAATCTAGATCTTGATCTACATATGTCAAAAAACTGTCATGCATGTAGGCTATTGGCGTATTGTAAAGAGTAAAGTATGTAAGCTTTTTAAAAAAAGGCAAAGGTTAAGAGTGAAGTGAAGTGAAAATAGATCTAGATCTAGATCTAGATCTAGATCTAGATCTAGATATATATCTAGATTAGATCAATCAATAGGCTATAGGGGCCTAGTCTAGACTAGATATCTAGATCTAGATATCTAAATCTAGAGTTATAGACTGAAGATCAAGAGACGTTTACACTCAAATGTCCCCTTTGACATAGACTTTTTGCAAATTCACAATAATGTTTTGTACAAACCCACGTTACTGGGGAAAGGAGGTGTGTCACTTTCGTACCTGCCCGGTTGTACCGTGTGTGTTGCAGATCTAGCAGTTTGAGTGAGGCCGGGTTTCTGTTTCTCCCTGCGTTGGGGACAGTGGGGAAAAATCAATCTGGACACATTGATTTTGATACCGGAAGGAAGTTTCGGTACGTTTGAGGTACGAAAAGGAAGCTTTCTCGGCATGGGTTTTATAATACCACATTGGCCAGTATATTTCAAATCGTGTGTTTCAAAATTATCTCTGAAAATTTTTGATAGTAGCACTAAGGACTCAGAACTCTACATTTAAAAAGATATAATTATTACAATGCATTATATAGACACAACTGATCAGTTTAATATATTTTTAAAGTGCATTGATACTGTGCCAAAGTTTGCTAAAAACAGTTCGCATACCTGGAAAAATCTGGCAACCTTAAACAGTTTCTCTCTCTTGTAGCGGTAACGCTAAATAACTAAGAAAACATCATCTTATTTTGTGAACAAATTTGTGATTTTCTCGGAAAACTACCACAGAGCTTGAAAAATGTAAGTATTTAAACTTGATTCAATAAGTATTGACGTGGAAAATGTTGGGTTATTTGTATTTGTGGTGGAGACCAAGGCTGCCATGCATGAGCCGTGGCACCTCATTGAAATTGAATCGAATAAATCAACAAAAAAGCAAGTGCTGAAGAAGAATGTGATGTTGAAACTAAGCATGCTCTAGATCTAGACTTCTACTACTAGATATCTAGACTTTACCTTAGGCTGCCTTAGCCTAGATCTAGATTCTAACCGTAGCCGTAGATGGTTAGAGTTAGACCTGTAAAAGTGTAATTTCGATTTTTAGGAGAATTTTTATGGTTAACAATATAACAAATTTATTTGCTGTTGGGCTACCCCAACTTATCCCGGCACTCCTGTGCTGTACAATTGCTGTCCTGTTTGCACCCGCCACTTGTTACTTGTATTAATAAATCTTGTCCTGCGTCTGTGCTGAGGCTGAGATGCGAATCTTATCAGCAACCTATTACGTCGGACATTCCGGGCGTGCCGCTGGGGTCACTCTGCGACAGCGTGTTGTAGGCCTACTGTTCGTGTAGATCTACAGCGAGCGGGCCTGGAAACGTGTGTTTTTGCGGTGAATACAGTGGGAGTGTGTTTTAAATCGATATGATGAAAATAATCTTTTATATGGTAGCGTCAACTGCAACACTAGTGACGCAGTGCAGTGGCAATTGACTTTATTGACGCCAGTGTCAATTGCCACCGAGTGAAGCGGTGGCAATTGACTGTATTGACGCGGTAGTGTCCATTGCCACCGAGTGACGCAGTGTCAAGTCTGAAAACAAAGCTCTTTCTTCAGATTTCTATTCATAATGCATATATATAGATCTATGAGTTACGAACACATTGTCATTGATAAAGTTAGGTCTGACCCCCTCTCATAAGTTGATAAGTCATTAACGAAAGTCGAAAGGTTACACACATTCTGGGGTTCGAAAGGAAAATAGTATAGTAGGTCAATTTCCGAATGTTTTGCACTCAAATTCTTCTTTTTACCTTTTAATGGTATTCAAAACTTTATCTAGATTATGCTATATAAACTTATTTTTATTTTTATAGGAATATCATTTTGCATAAATTCAAGCTCGTTTGAAAGATTCTGTTTACAGTAAAATGGAAGTCTTGTTTCCTGGTTTTCCTTTCGAGCTCCTCATGTGTAAGTGGGTCAATTTGTTTTCTAATTTCATAGGAGGACGAACATCTCTAGAGCTACCTACTTCAACTTGGCGTGTTTTGAATGAGACATCTGTAGGCTAGCCTATTCTTCGGTGTAGAACCAACACCGGCGATTCTAGAAGTATGCCACAAACGCACACAAGCTCTTTCAAGCAGAAATACGCTTCATATAATTTATTTATAGGGGAACATAAATCCGGGGGACGGGGCTTAGGGGGAGAGAGAGAGAGACACCCCCCCCCCCCCCACACACACACACACACACACAGTCACAGAGGGGCAAAGAGAGAGGCGTGTGTGGCAAGTTCACGAATGCAGAACACCGTGCACATACAGGCTAGATCTACTCACAAACACAAAAGATCTCCAATTTACTCGGTGGCAATTGGCATTACCATCTTTTATAGCTTTCTATTTATAAAGTGTGTAAATTTTTACTTTTATATGCACCCTCTCATAGATGCATTATTTATTTTATTTAGTAGAGGTTTTATGGCATTGGCAACTGCGTCATATGAGCGCCAAGGGGTGGATGTCAACAGAGAAGTCTTTACAGAGAATCAGGCCTACTCTGCTCACCTCTCTAGTTTCAACAGCACAAAGTCTGTTTCGACTTTCAAGGCACCCTGGAAATAGCGGGTCACAAGAGTGTGACAAACATACAAAAGTAGAGGAAAAATGACGATAGTAAGGATTAGGAAAGAAAAAGCAGCAATTCCCTGTTGTAGATCAGGCACAGTTATGAGCGTGACATAATGAATCAGCCCATTTACAATTCTACTGTTCATGAACGAGAAGGGAATGGCCTATTAAGACACTTAGTCGTGGCACCGCCCCGCGGGGTATAGATGCATTGATTTGAGGGCTAAACTGCCATAATTTTTGCTGTAGAACACACATATATGGCCACTAAAACCTTTGCAAATCAATTGCTTTCAAGTTAACCTGAAAACCCCCCAGATTCTTTTAGGTCAGGGGGGCATGCCACCCTGAAACCCCCATTGTTAAATTTACTATTTTCAAACATCAATAAATAGTGATTTGCATAAAAAATGAAGGCCATATATTCGTGTTTAGCGTGCAAAATACTACTAGAAAACAATAAAGTGTTATGAACACATGAAATAACCCCCTCTCATAAGCTGATAAGACATAACAAATAGTATAGTTACGCCCATTCGAATTACCTTTTGAGGCTCTTGTTGTTTTATGAATGATCTGGGGTTCGCAAGACGTGCACATGGTATTCACTACCAAACAAGTTTATTTTTTTTCAGTAGTATCATTTCATACAAAATCAAGTGCATTTTGAAAGATTTTGTTACTTTTTGTATAGAAATTTGGAAGTCTTGTTTCCTGACTATCCTTTCGAGCTCCTCATGTCTAAGTGGGTCAATTTGTCCGCATTTCTTTGGACGAACATCTAGAGCTACCAACTAGGCGTGTTTTGAATGAGATGTAAATGCCCCGGCTACGAACCAACGCAGGTGGTTCTAGAAGTAGGCCACAAACGCTTACAAACTCAAGCAGATTTTAATGCACACACACTTGAACTGCATGAATGCGGGTCCGATGCGGGACCCGGACGGAATGGGGATGATGCTCCGCGCGAGGGGGCCGGACTGACTTGGGACGGGACCGCAATGAAGGCGAGATGCCGGAAAAGGCTTATCGGGCGACATAATCACGGCCCCCGCAGGACCAGGGTTAAGTGCCCCTGTAGTGTGTTTGTCGACTAGCGAGGGAAGCCCCGGAACACAACAAAAATAGATGGGGGGAAATACGCCGCCTATATTTGGGCCAATCACAGAGGTACAATGTGCTGGTGCTCGCTCCAGCATCGTGTGATCTAAACTGAATCTAGATCTAAATCAAGAGTTAGATTATCAACTCTAGGCTATCTAAAATCTAGATCTCTATGATCTAGATTCACTTCCACAATGGCCGACGGTCCTATCGGAGACGGACGTTAAACTAAGAGGTCCTGCCCCTTAAATAACCTAATAGTGTTGATAGGGGCGTTAAACCCATTCCATTAATTTTTTTTTCACAATGGCCGTCATGTAAACAAATGGGACCGCAATTGTACAGGACCTGAGTGCACTCATCCCCACATGGCTGAGTCGGTACGCACGCAATTGCGTGCACAGAAATTCAAAATTTGCTGTACGCACACAGTTGTGTGCAAGGTATCATAGTTTGCTATACGCACGCAATTGTGTGTACAGTCAAACCTGTGTAAAACTGCCACCTATTTTCAAGGAGAAAAGGGGCGGTGTAACTATAACACAGGTGGCCGTCTTAGGCAGAACTGGTCAAAATGAAAGAAAGCAAATCATTCTCTTCTGAGGTCCAAACCAGGGCTGATCTCAGACTTTAGACTGCAGTAAGGCTAATTCAAAAGAGTTTTCTTTTTAAAAAGGGGGGTGGGTGGTGTAAGAAAGGTTTTTTTTGTGTTGTTTTGATGGTGTGTTTTTTTTTTTTTTTTTTAATTGATAAGCTTTCTTTTTGTGGCTGATTTTGTTTGAAGAGTAAGATAAACGAAATATTATTTAAAACGATGAAGACCGAATGCCATGGTAAAACAAACACACAGGTTGCCACCACTTTGAGAACGAGCGATGCTTCTGTTGCGAGTTCACGTCAACATCCATTGTTCATTGTTACTTTGTTACAGATTAGGAGGTAAACTTTACAAAACAGTGACCAGTCACCTCACACACGATTTGTGCATGAGTTGTGGGCAGGGCTTTTATAGGTTATGACGGATCATGCTTCCCTCACCAGCTGTTGAAAATTTATTGTTAGAGGCCTAAAACCCATGTGTCAACTTGGGGTAAACATTCACTGGATAGACTAATAATAACGACAGGTGAATGGATTATGACGGCCCGCCCACAGCGGGAGGGGCCAATTCAAAATTTACGACAAAGCATCGGGCAGTGAATGACCACGCCTGGACGCCTGAGGCAGGTAAATTTGACAGTGGGTTGATTAAATAAGCTGCTCCCTAAAGCATATTTTTTTTTCTAAAACCTAGAAATGTTGGACTGGAGCAAGTGTTTGATAGACATACAGGGATTAGAATTTTCACGTAGTCGGGTGGCTGCCTGATACGAGTAATCTTGCCGGCCGCCAGTAATGAGTTTTATAAGAAATTCCTGCACTTTGCCAGGCCAATGAGAGATTTATAAACGCAGATCATTGTTTGAAACAGTCAGCAGTGGTGGGCAGTATGGTGTTTAGTGATGCACAATCAGGATCACAGGCCTGTGACACGTCTTGTTGGTTTCTTTAGTCTTTGTTTAAAAAATTGCAAGTCGAGCAGACTGTTGATAATTAATATAAATACACACCCCACTTGTTTTTCCTTACCTGGTGATGACCTGCTCTTTCACTTTATGATGCTTTTGTTTACATTGCATTCATCCTGTAATCTACTATCTACTAACCATGTCCTGAACACTCTAGGGAAAAAGACTATCCGTGGCCGTATTATCACAAATTTTTAAGCCAGGTTACTAATTTTTCATTTTGATTCACTAAAACGAAACATATATGAAATTTTATGTGGATGGGAGGGCAGCCCTGGTATAGACAGGGAGTGAGCAGATCAGTGACATGCCCTTGCTCTCATAGATAGAGTTGTGCATGGACGAAAGGGAGATACTGCACAGCTGCTGAGTGGATGCCATGCACTGTGTGTGTGTGTGTGTTTATGTGTGTGTGTGTGTGTACATCTGGCGGCCAGTACAGTGGCGTTGTTGCAGGGCAAGTAAGGACCGTACATCTTAGACGGTTGAAGTTTGAAAGATTAAGGATTTGACTGTTATTTGATTACTTGATTACTTGATCCTAGGAACAACATCATAGCACTCAGGGCATTGCCATAAGTGCTCCGCTTCCCGCTCCAATATCCACCTCAGAGTCCATCTGCTGAGTGAATGCTGCCTATAACATTGATTCCTCACCAAGTGTGTAATAATCCTGTTCTCGTCTGTTTTTCTGCCAGGGCTGCTGTTCAAAAGCCAAAGAGTGAGATGACCCCGGAGGAGCTTGCTCAGCACGAACAAGAGGAATTCAACACCGGCCCCTTGTCAGTCTTGACACAGTCTGTGAAGAACAACACACAAGTCCTGATCAACTGCAGAAATAACAAAAAGCTTTTGGCTCGTGTCAAAGCTTTTGATAGGTCAGCAATTTATTATATTAGTACAGTACAGTAGTCTCCGCCTAAACTCACGGTACTGAGGGGGGGAGGGGGGGCTCAGAAGTGTGCGTTTACATGGTGTGTGTGCATTCACGTGAACCTGTGCAAAGGGGTAAAGGGACACAACTATCAGTCTCGTTTCCTTGATATTTTAGTTAATGATTACTTTTACCTCTCTTGGGGATTGGGGATCACTTTTAGTTTTTACTGAATAATGCGATGAAACGTGACAGTTTTGTAAAAGGTTCCGCAGGGCTTTTTCTCTGGTCCCACCATCCCTTTTATGTCAGGTTTCCACTGTAAGTGTTCTTCTCTGCTGATGTATTGGTCATTGTCAGACATTGACGGACGAGCTATTAATTATTATTGTACAGTGAAACTCTCTAATAATAAAGTCCTTGGGCCTGACCTACACGTTCATTGAACCAAAAGTCTTCATTCAAAGAAAGATGTGATGAAAGTAGAAATGTTTTAAATTGGTGATGGAGGGGACATCTTTTATGAACGTGTCATAGTGTAAAGGGAGAACACCAATGGTGCTCCAAAGTGCTTGTTTGCGGTTGTTTCCCTTGACAGTCCCTGAACAATAGGGTCCGGCTAGTAGTTGCAAACAAGAGTCGACATTTTCTTCTCTTTGCTGCCGTACCAAATGTTTCCTAGATGAAAACAAGACTGCCATAGAAGCGTTACTATTTAATGTAGTTTGGTTTAAAATGAGAGGCATTGACTTTTCTTTGATTTCGAGTTTCACTGTATAAGTATTTTTACCCTTAAAACCCTGAATTCTTTTTTTTCATACCTCCCTAGAATCCTGAATTAGAATTGAGATACTAGAAAAATTTTGGTTGGTCCATTGTTTTATTTACTGTGTCTTTAATTGTAGTTTGATTTTACTGAAGTTTGAAAATGTTATGTTATTTATCTATATATGAATGCGCAGTCTGGACAAAAGGGGGAAAGGTTAAAACACTGGTTTTTAGGACCAACTCTATGAGTTAAGTCTTGTGTATGATCCCTGACTCCACTTCAGTCAAAGTATCATTAGACCCAGCCGTAGATCTAGCCTGCGGTAGCTCTAGTGGTGATCCCCTGCCTCTTCCACTATTGTCAAAATCATCATCGATGTTATGCGGAAGATTGCAATCGTCTTCAACGGTCATTTTTATCGATATATCCGACTTGGAGACCATCATTGGGGTCTGGTTCAGGATCAAAAATGTCAAAAAAATTTGTGGCCTGAAGGACCTGGCAGCGAAAAGTGACTAATTTTTCTTTAAAACTTAAAACTCGCAAAATTTCCTAACTTTTGGTGTAGAACTGCTCTCATGACATTATTGGTACTTTCTGCTGGCAACAGAGTCATCTGGAGTTACATCCCCTGTTTCTAGCACTGGGAATTAAACGATAAAGTTGACCAGCGGTATAGGAAAATACATCGTCAGCGGTTACCAGCGGTATAGGGTTTTAAGGGTTAAATTTGCATATTTTTCTTTTTTGTAACAGTGTTTTAATTCAGTCTGTGATTTGTTCTTGTTTGTGATTGGAGTGTCTTGCATTATGTTTCTCAATGAACTGTTTCGCCAACAATCTATCGCTTGGAACTGCACACCCTCTTCATCTCTGCATTTCAGGCATGCATGAAATGAATGTTTTAATCACTATTTCAGTATTATGTGTCACGACATGGTAGAATCAGGCGCTCATCAGTTTTTTGACATATGGTGCTATTGATATGATCTTAACTTTTGATGAAAAAACCCCCACCCATCTAAGATCTTGAGAAATTTGTGTTCTGAAGGAGGTAGGGGTTGCCTGGTTTCAGAGGTAAAAAAAAAATTAGCGTAAAAATGGCCACCAAAGTTTGGTGACTTCCGTAGCTTGAGAATCCTTGGAAACTGAAAATTTACATTTTTATGTACCTTCAATAACATTTTTTTTTCCTCAGTAAAACCAATACAGAAATGTGCTTTGAAATGGACATTAACTGATTCCGTCCATGATTTTTTCAGGCTCTGGACAGAGTTATTTTTCCCTGCTCAGTTTTAGACCTGGGAGGCATCTATTTAACGCATTACTGTGAAGCTCTAAGTCACTCTAATATGTATTGTCATATACCAAACTGATGGGAATAAATCGGAAAATCTGTTTATATCAATAAGAATGACCTATAATCTGTTTGTATTACAATTTCCTTCTGACAAAAATGAATGAGAAAAAAAAAAAGCGCAACAGCTCTTCTAAAATTTCGACTTACATACCGCATTTTCTCAGCTCTACAAGTCCTTATAATCCATAGGAATCAACACAACATTGTAGCGATATCACCCTAGCACACATTTATGCAAGAATTTCACAAATTTAGTTGAATATCTTTCTTTGAAGAGCCTTTTTATTATACCAGGCTCCGTGTTGTTTACCCTTAGATCTAGCCTACATTGCAACAACAAAACAACGATTTTTGCAAGAATTTCGCGGAGTTTCGATCGATATTGGCGCTCAGAGATTGAGGTCAGGTTTGTTTACAAGTTCTACTTCCTTTCGACAACTTAAAAAGTAGGAACTATGTTAAAAAGTGCACCTTTGTTTCGGATTTCGTTGAGCCGCTCACAGCGGCCGAATGGAGGCAGCGGAAAAACTCAGAGCCGCTGTCAGCGGCCGAATGGACGGAATCAGTTAAATTAAAAGTGTTGGATGTAAAAACAAAAATTCAATAAATTATATGCAAAACTGATAAAAAAAATATGTTGGTGTCAGGGTATCTTCGACTTCATTATTTTGACGAGTTCCTGATTTCAACACAATACCTCAGATATATTGTCTTTTGTAGAAATCCTTTTTTCAATCAAGGATCAACTGTCAACGAGACTACGCAGCTGAAAGCAAATTGTCTCGTCTTTCAAAAGCCTTGTTGTAATTTTGGATGCAGGTATCATTGAACTAACTTTTATTTTTTCAATTGTTTTGCTTGACAGGCATTGCAACATGGTCTTGGAGAATGTGAAGGAAATGTGGACAGAGCAGCCAAAGACAGGAAAAGGCAAAAAGAAGTCCAAGCCCGTCAACAAGGACAGATTTATCTCCAAAATGTTTTTAAGAGGAGACTCTGTTATCCTGGTGCTCAGAAACCCCCTGGCCACAGCAAAGTGAATCTTTTTATAAAATGTTTTTTGTTATAATTTCTATGTTGTAGCTTGTGTGTGTTGAATTTGAATGCTTGATGTATAAAAAGTGAATACATGAGAGAGGGATATATGAATGAGTAGGTTTCTTGCCTTTCTCTGATATGCTGCCAGAGACGAGGTCATTTGAGAGAGACACATTATAATCAAATAATGGAATTGAATCAATTGATTGTAACACCAGATTTCTGTGTAATTTCGTTCAAGTGACCTGTGAAAAAATATTTGAAGCAAGACGCCTAGACACGAGTGGTTGATATTGAGAAATGTGTTCATTTTTAATGTTCTCATTTTTATGTAAGTGAATCATTTCTGGGTCCATCTACAAAAATAAAACCTGTTGCTGGTTTCAAGATAAACTGCTTGTTTGTTTTATGAGTGAAGGATATATATTACTTGGACGACAGCGTTGATAATGTGTACGAGTAAGGGGATGGAGGTGTCAAAGTTATCATTCCTCCGGGAATTATTTATCGTATTTCAGGTCAGAAGAACCTTCCTATAATCCCACACTTCCAAAAAGTAATACCTGTAATATTTCATAGTTCTTAGACCTATATAAGCTCACTTGGCTTTCATACTTGGTCACAGCAGGAGGCAACCGTGTAGGTTGGCCATAAGTTTGGGAGAAATAGATCATTGTATTGATGTCAGATTGAGATAGCTATTGAATTATATTCCTCGAGAATGGGATTATAAAGCTGTCTCCGGAGAAAGTTCAATTTAAAAATAGCAAAAGTTGCAAGAGAAATTTGCAAAAGTTGCAAGAAAATTTGCCAGACCCGCATAGCTAAAAAAATATGTCATGGAATACACTGTTGGTATGCTCATTGCAATCAAAGTAACCAACATGAGTTTTGTTGAATCAAAGTCAAAAGTAAATGTGAATGTCTACTAAAAAACTGGACTATGCACAAGCAAAGGTCATGTGTGTGAAAATGAAAAATAAAAATCTATTGACATAGATCTGTCCCTGCGGTTTTATGCACAAAAAAAAATCTGAAATTATGCAAACTGAGCCCAAAAATGTGAAATTATGCAATTCTGTTAATTTTAACAAACAATGAGAAAGGAAAATAAACAGAAATTATGCAAAAAAATGATCAAATTTTGCTAAATTATGGGGGGATGCATAAAACCACGGGGACAGATAGGTTGTCATAATAATGCTGGTTGGAAATGTCTTTATGAACTATGAGGATATAAAGTAGACTAGGTCTTGATACAAAATGAAAAATTCAATTAAAATAATCAATATCGGCAAATTGGTTGTAATACTTGAATAAAAGGGACTTGATTGTTTCTTCAGACTGATACCTGCGCCTACAGTTAATTGAGTTAATGAGCAATTTGTAGAGAGAAAAGCTTCTCTCCACCTCAGCTGATAAACCACACCAGAAAGAGACGGCACAACATCGTGTTTACGATTGATTTACTGTAGGTCTATATATAGCTGGAAGATGATTTATTTAGTGAGTGTTTAGGCCTCTCCCAAAGGGGGGACATTTCTCATTCTAATTCACAGTAGAATTGTAAATGGGCTGATCTAACTAGATTCTATGTCATGCTCATAACTGCCTGAACTACAACAGGGAACTGCTGCTTTTTCTTTCATAATCCTTACTATCGTCATTTTCCTCTACTTCTTTTGTATGTTTGTCACACTTTTTTGCTATTTCCAGGGTGCCTTGATAGTCGAAGCAGACTTTGTGCTGTTGAAGCTAGAGAGGTGAGCAGAGTCAGTTAAGTCTTGATTCCCTGTAAGGACTTCTCTTTTGATATCCACCCCTTGGCGCTCATATGACCTTATGCAGTTGCGAGCGCTGCAAAACCTCTACTAAACAAGATGATTTAGTCCGCCTCTTGAACGTGTAAACAAGGAGACAAAGGAGGTGATATTTCTGGTACGAATTGTCCCCATTGGCATTGTTTTTAGTCGTGGAAGAAAGTTTCCTGTTATTAATGAGATTCTATTACATGTATTATTTTCCCAACTTTTGCGGGAAATTGGTTAAAATTCGCGAACTCACGAAAATGGCAAAAGTCGCGCGTGCAAGTTGCGGGTTGCAGGCGCAAATTCCTCTGAGGACAGAAAAACTGTGCAAAATACGAAACTAAAGTTTTAGCTTGCAGTCAGTTACTGATTTCTAAAATAGATAAAATGATATTCTTGAGTACTCAGAATGGAAAGTCGGGAGAATTCCACACCCTCTGCAATGTTCAATTTTTAATAAACGTAAAAACTGTAACATCATGGAAGTCATGTAAATATTTTTTGGTTAATTTTATCGGACTCAAGGGAAACAGTTGTGGGGGATGTAGATCTTGGCCTATCTTTTTTTTTAAAACATAAAAGTAGCCTCCATAAAACTTACCTCATCATAGTCCTATTGAAAAAGTAGATGTGGAATTCCCCCATGAAAAAGTATGATGTGGGAACCCCCCCCCCCCCCTACATATTACTACATGTATATATAGATTTATATATATATATATATATTGCGGGACAAGAGGAAATTTATTCTTAGTAACATGTTTTTAATGGCCTTAACTTCTTAACTTCCACCAAGGGACGCAACTTGTGTTAAAACATCAGAGACGTACCGGTAGCCAAAAGAAAAATTATTCAATCTCCTGCTTTAGAAATCATTTTGAGGAAAAGTATTTTTTGTGTTTAAAAATACAATGTAGCCTACTTTTCCCACTTTAAAAAATTGCTATCGGTGGTTGAAAATGAAGAAAACTATTGTATGTAAGTTAGAATACTTATCATCTCAAATGGCTCAGCCAAAAACTAATGAAACTATTCTCCGCTTTGGAATGCTTGTGTTCAGAAAAAAGTATTCTACGTGACACATGAGAATGGAAGAAATTGATTAGAATTTAACGATACACCAAATGAGCTCTTGTTAGTTTTTTGTCGTTTTTTAAAAATCCTTGTTTGTTTTTTCTACCCTACATGTGTTTCGGATCCTAGAATTGCGTTCTGGTGAAATTATAAGTTTTTTCCTTCTTCTGTAAAATTTGCAAAATATCACTTAGGTTAGTTTCCCGTGGGTGGTTGGCGGGTGCTCTGGTGTGATTTGCTTCTTCTTTCCAATCAAACATCTATTGTCCTTATCTCCCCTTCTTCTTTTTTATATTTTTTGTTACTCTCTTGTAACACCTCTAATCTTCTGGTGCTCATATGGCCTTATATGCAGTTGCAAGCGCTGTAAAACCTCTACTAGTGGGTGGTTGGCGGGTGCTCTGGTGTGGTTTGCTTCTTCTTTCCTATCAAACATCTATCGTCCTTATCTCCCCTTCTTTTTTTAGGTTTGTTACTCTCTTGTAACACCTCTAATCTTCTGGCAGTTGCGGGCTCCGTAAAACCTCTACTACTAAAACTAAACTAAAAGAATAGTTTTCCTCTAGATAGTCTCTAGACCCATGATATGTGTTGAAGTTGAACAGTTGTTATCAATATCATGCAGTCTGTGCAGCTTTCTCAGGTGGTATTGCAAATTTGAAGTGAATGATCCTGGTTCGAATCCCGGGTGAGTGGTCTTGATGCTTTTGAGTTGTTTGGGGAGTTTTCAAGACTCCACCACCAAGTTGGCTATGTCCTGTCGAGAGGAAGGGATGTCAAATTTGGAGCTACCACTACCACCTCTAAACGTGAGGTGTGCTGACAAAATGAGTCACTTCTCGCAATCCACATATTGAGATATTGGCCAAACATCGACACTAGGGTCAAATTTGTAGATTTTCAATTTAAGTCGAGCCACATTTTTAACCCTATCTGTACGTTGTGTTTTACTTTCGTATCCATACGGCGTGGGGAACTCTGTGCCACCACTTTCCAAAGAGGAAATTTACTCGTTAATCTGATCCGTACGCTTTGCATAGCAGTCTGTCAAAATGATTTTTTGAGAAATACTGAAAGTAGAAAGTTTCAATCAAAGAGATCTATGAACTAGAAAAATTCTGATATAACAATGTGAAGAATACAACCCGGGGGTCAAAAAGCACCAACTACTAATGTCAAGGGAACTACATGTAGCTTGTTTGCCAATCACTAGATGAATTATTGATGAGTCATCTCCCCTAGATCCTTAATTTTAAAAAAAGGAAGGAACCAATGGTGTTCCAAAGAGGTAGCTGTTTAAATTTTATCAGCAGTTGTTTCCCTTGGGTATAGCCCATCGAACAGAATCCTCGGTCTGAAGAAAGTGGAAAGTGATCGAAAGAGACAAGACAATTCACCATGTTTTGAGTAGATCCATGCTTGATGTTTGTTGTTGTTTTAAAAAAAAGTTGTTTTAGTAACTCGCAACTGTATAAATGTAAATATAAGTATAAGGTCATATGAATATGAGCGTGCGGGACACATGAAACTTGTAATTGTAACATTTTAATTGTAATAGCAGGAATTCATTTTGAATGTTCCCTGGGTGACAGCCGAAGGCTACTCTGATCGATTTTGGATCGCCAAGGGATCTTTAACTTTAACGTGCGCAACTTGCACACGGGACATCCGAGATTTATCGCCCATATCCGAGAAGGCTAGGTGTTTGATCTTACTTACCTGCCCTAAGATCAGGGGTGTGGTTACTGAAAGTAGTGAAAGACAGCAGTAAGAATGTGTATGTACACATGCCGAAGATAGGTGTTGCTAGAGACCAGCTAATCCGACAGAAAAACAAACAAACACTATAGTGGGGGTTCTCGTGGCCTGGAGGTTAAGGTGTTCGCCTCTCATTCAAAGGTCTCGGGTTTGAATCCGGGTAGCGACCGAAAAACTTTCTTATCTTAGATTGTCTCCTTTCCCCTTCTTTCCTTCTCCCTTGCAATATTCTGTCGTCTGCTTTCGTCTCCTACTTTCTTTCCCACCCCCTCACCTCCTTTGCCCCCTTCTCTGCGCTCCTGACTCTTTCTGCAGCCTTTCTACTGCTACTCCTTGACTCCCTCCTACTGCTGTCTTTCAGCCACACCTCTGATCTTCTGGTAGGAAAGATCTACACCAAGCCTTCTCGAACTAGGGCGAAAAATCTCGGAGGTCCCGTGCGCAAGTTGCGCACGTTAAAGATCCCTTGAGGGTCTAAAATCGTTAAGAATAGGCTTCGCCGACATCCGGGCAGAATTCTAAATTTCCTACCAACTTATAAATGTGTATTGTGTCCTGCGCACTCATATGACCTTATGCAGTTGCGAGCGCCGTAAAACACTTACCAAAAAAACAAAACAAAAAAAAAACAACAA